ACTCACAGAACTGCCGAAATACGGCCAGCTTCTCACCTTATTTTCGATAAATTCCTGATTTTTGAGCGGTATTAATTTATTTAAAAATTATACAACGTAGCTAGTGTTTGCTAAAGTTAATAAACGTATATATACAACGTAGCTAGTGGCGGGAACTCTTTAGAAAATGCTTTAGTATGCTCAGAACTATACGAAAAATATTTTATATAAGCCAAAACTCCGAGATTTCGCACAGCGTCTCATCTTCTTCTGTCATGATTACTTTTCGGTTAATATTAATTTTTTTAAATATAACACAAAGATTCTAACGCTCGGAACTCTTTAGAAAATGTTTCAATATGCTCAAAACTACTCGAAAAATATTTTACATAAACCGGAACTCCGAGATTTCAACTGGCATCTCAACCGGTATACTCGTTGCATTGTAATTTTTTTTTAGTACCTTATAATTAATTTTTTTGCTTTTACATGGCAGAACTCTTTATAGAACTGTTATAGAACTATAGATCTTGCAAAATCTGATGAGATAAACTCTTTATAGAACTGTTATAGAACTAATATAGATCTTGCAAAATCTGATGAGATACAGTGGTGGAACTTGTGTAGGACAAAATGAGACGCTGCGTGAACATAGCGTCTCAGTTTGTACATGACGCGTTTTTTGAAAGAAGCCAGAACTCTCAATAATTTGTGAGTTTCTGCAAAATGAGACGATAGCTTCACACACACGTTAGGAAGAGAATGTATAAAGAATTATTAACGGAGATATTTTAATTTAAAAAATCATTAAAATATATATTTTTCAGGAATGTTTTATAGAGAAACGAAGAAAGTGAATAACGTTAAACTTTGCATGTTTTCTTCACCTTATTTTAAAAATTTATTTTTATTTTTTAAGTAACAAAAATGCTCTTTTTTTGTTATATCCTGGTCACTATAAATGACAGACGATGTAAATAATTCTAGCTGTATTAGGTATCTGAAACGTAAAAAGCTAAAATTTTCTTATTCTGTAGGAGAAGTGTGGCTATCGTCTGAACTAGAACTAAATCAATATTTCCATTCTGAGCGGCTTTTTTATTTAAAATATTATAACTTTTTTCAAAATTTTATTAGTATTTTATTAAAAGAAAATGTTTATTCTAGTTCAGACGATAGCCCATATCACTTATTCTGAAGAAAATTTTTGGTTTTTACATTTCTGATACCTAGAACAGCTAGAATCATTTACTTCGTCTCTCATACTTACGTCTTTTAGTGATCAAGATATAATATAAAAGTAACAAAAAGAAGAATATTTTTCTTACTTAAAAAATAAAAATAGATTTTTAAAATAAGATTAAAAGAACATGCAAAGTTTAACGTTATACGCTTTCTTCGTTCCCCTATAAAAAAATTCCTGAAAAATACCTATTTTTAAAAACCTTCTCCAGCTCCAGTCATACTCAACTTGTATTCATGCTTAAAAAGTAAAATTTATTTTACTACAGTTAATTTACTAAATATTACATATAACAACTAAAAAATAAGAAGTTAACTTCAAATCGCGTACTTTACACAAGTATTTCTCGAAAACGAGTACCGCAAGGGTATTGAAACTTATCGCATATTATTAATTTCTATTTTTATATATAAAGCATCATATACTAGTCTTTCAAAAACATTTAGAAAAAACTTTTTTCACAATTTATTAAAATGTCTGTTTCACAATATCTCGGAATAAGAATTCCGTGTTGAAAGTTGAAACTTTGAAGCTCAATATCTCGATTTTTAATACCGCAAAAGGTACTAAAATTTATATTACACATAAAGCACACCTATAAATTAATGTATATTCACAGTTTCAAGAAAATCTAGAGAAAATCGATTTTCCGGAGAACGTCCTTAAGATCTTTCAAACCAGAATACGCTCTTGTAATTTATTATTTGTCATTAACATATTTTATTATTAATCACATACATATAAGTGTGAGAAAGCATATGGTACAAAATAATTTCAATATTCAAATTATTGTAATAATAAAGAAATCAATTATTTACATTTTCTTCTGTGTGTGTATGTGTGATGTTATTGACAATAGTTTCTTTGCACGTTTACATTTCTTTCGCAGATTTTTTACACGCTTAATTTTTACAAGTGTGATGTCAAATACAGACAAGATTTTTGTTTATCTGCTATAAGCGTTATTTTGAATGTAAGATTTTAATAATCAAATGTTTTTAATAATCAAACATTTTCAAACTGCAAGCGAGGGACAAGCAATATCATCTACCGCATGTATCCTTAAAATACTACGATCTTTTCTAGCAGCACTAGCCATTAGCGTATAATTTGTCCGCCGACATTACTAATTTCTTCTGCAGCAACACATAAAATGTTGAACAGTTTTCTCGAATGGTTGTAATAACATCTGTATGTCCTTGCATTATTAATTCGTTAAGGTATTGCTCACCACATTCTCATTCTATTAACAAAATTTTGAAAAAAGTTATAATATTTTAAATAATATTTTTAATAAAATTTAAAACTATTAATTTAGAAATTACATCTTCTGACCAAAAGCGTTGGTCGAAATTAATAATGTCTCGATGATTGATCCGAAAAAGTGCTGTGTGAATTCGACAAAGCGAGTTGGCTCTCGGTTTTTTCAATGTTCATATCGGTAAAGACGTTATATATTGCCAGTTACTGTCGATTTAAGCTGCTTTAACTGTTATTCTATTCACTGGCGAAATAAATTTATTATTCTGATTTTTAATAATATAAGAGAAATAAGACCGTTTTATGTGACCGTTATACAATCAATCAATATTAAATAAGCCGTGTACGATCCGAGCTTGAATCTTAATAGCCTAATAATATTTTTTATGTATAATTACACATATATTTTTTCCAATCTTAATAAATTGCGCGCTGACTAACTTGTCAGACTTACAACACAGCTCCTGTTGGAGTAGTAAATTCTTTACTATTATTTAAATCGATTTAATTAGAGGGGTGTGAGGGGATTTTATTAACCCAATAGAAGCTGTGTTGTAAGTCTGACAAGTTAATCGGCGCGTATTATAGTTGATTAAAGTTGGAAAAATATGTAAATATAGTATATAAAAAATATTATTAGGCTACTATAAAATCTAAGCTCAGATCGTAAATGGTTTATTTAATATTGATTAATAATATTTTTGATAAAAAAGCCGCCTAGAGAACCTAGAATGAAAATATTGGTTTAGTTCTAGTTCAGACTATAGCCACATATACTTCTTCTAAATAAGAAAATTTTTGGTTTTTAGGTTTCAGATACCTAGAACAGCTAGAATTATTTACACCGTCTGTCATTTATGGTGACCAGGATATAACAGAAAAGAAGAGCATTTTTGTTACTTAAAAAATAAAAATAAATTTTTAAAATAAGGTGAAGAGAACATGCAAAGTTTAACGTTATTCACTTTCTTCGTTTCCCTATAAAAAGTTCCTGAAAAATATATATTTTAAAGATTTTTTAAATCAGAATACCTCCGTTAATAATTCTTTACATTTTCTTCCTGACAGAAGAGATTTTACCACTTCTCAATATAAATATAAATTTATCTTGTTATGGTTTTATTCGATTATTCCGGCGTTTTTATATTTGTGATTTAATTAGATTATTGTTTACTTTGTTTATATTATTAGTTCGCCAACATGTTTAATGTTTTAGTCTAGACTAATGTTTAATGTTTTAGTATGTAAACTTGAACATTAATTATCATGTTTTTTTATATTTATCTTCTTCTATCGTAGTAATCCGTTCCGAAGAAGACTAAGTACAGTCGAAACGTTAAGCATGTGTATTGTTTATTTAAGAAATTGTTTTTATTTTAATTCAATATCTCTCTGTTGTTGCTCGTGGCCACTTATAAACATTAATAGCTAATATAAATTTAATAAGAGTAAAAAGAACATTATGAACTACTTTTTTTCTCGATATAGTTAATATATAATTATTGTTATGCATTTAAATATTAAATTTAAATACTATTATGCTAAAGTAAAGGTTTTTAATGTAAGACTGTTTTTGATATAAGAGCAAATTTGCCAGAACGGGGATTTCTATACATTACATTTACGAATTTTAGTTTTTATGTTTATAAATATTTTTTTAATTAATTATAATTGCAATCTTTATATTTATAAATTTCAAATATATATATATATATATATATATTTATTTATTTATTTATAAATATAAAAATTAAAATTTGTAAATATAAACGTAAATGTAACGTATAGCGCATCGTCGATTTGCCAACGCGAGACTCGGCATTCGGCGAGACGCGAGGAGCGATACTTGAAATGCATGGCATCGTGGCATAGCCGGCGCATGCTAAGCAGTACGTCACAGCTCAAGCGAGAAGGAGACAGCAGATCGTATGTCTGCCCTTCTCTCCCCGCTCGAAGCTTGACGAGTGCCGAGCCAAGGTGGAAGCACATAAAATTGCAGGAGCCATAAGCAGAAGGCAGAAGCCATATGCGCATGCGCTATGGTATCTGTAGAGCTCTACAGGTACCATAGCGGATTCTTATTTTGCTTTTTGCTTCTGGTTTTTGGTCCTTCAATTTTATGTGCTTCCACCTTCCTCCACCTTCAGCCGACTGGCATATCCCCTCCATCTGAGTAGTTCGGACACGAACCATAGCACGGACACGAACCATGTGTGTACCGTTACCGAGCGTAACGACGTAGTTGACGTCCACTTTCTCAGGCGGCGCATCAGTATACGTCCGCTGGAACGGAATGATCCCGGTGGCCGCTCTCAGGTTTCTCTCTGCTTGAAATCATTCGCAAGAGAAGCGTATGCGCAAATGTTGTTCTTACAGAAAAGTTGCAAGTCGATTGGCTGTCGCATAGCTTTTAACCAATCAACTTGCAACGTTTCTGTAAGAGCAGAATTTTCGCATACATACGTTTCTCTTGCGAATGAAATCAAGAATCGACCCCCACAGCCCCCAGCCCCCAGCCCCCAGCCCCCAGCCCCCAGGCTTAAATTGTGTATTGAGTATCACCACAAATTGCTACGCTACGTAGAGAACAAACAGATATATTTAATGTCAATTTTGCTAGAAATAATGTTTCAGTATATATTTTCCATACTGGGGCAGAAAATTTAGCTAGAGAACAAAGCTCTCATCAGCTCTCATGACACAAGGCGAAAATCTATTCGTGATTGCTTTTGAAGTTTGAACCATGCAGAACCTAATCAAGTGTCCGAAACGATATTACATGGCGCCAAGCCGGATATTCAATTTCCCATCCGAAAATATTTATCTCCCGAAAGAAAAACCTATTTTTAACGTTAAACACTTCAGTTACGCGAATAATAATGGAGCTCACAGGTTATCTCTTCCCATGTCTTATCACGCAAGTATCAACATGTTTTGTGATACAAGAATCAACATCTTTTATTCCAATTTCTATTTATATTTCACACTTATTTAGCTAATTGATTTTCAATTTGTGACAACTAGATACGATTTTTATATAGATATAACATTGATATCTTTGACAGGAAAGAAATGTCAAGTATATCCCTAGACAGCAAAATCTGTTTTCAACAGATTTTGCAAGGCATCTGCTATGAATTTTTTTGGCACAATGCCAGCGAAAATAAAATTACTAGTATAATAAATTGACTGCAAATATCGAGTTTATCATTTTGTAACCATATGATATATTTTATTTAAATGATAGATTCTGTTTGCAATCTGTTGGCAATATGTTGCGAGATTACATCAACAAGTTCTGCTGGCAGAACATAAATCAATATCAATCTGCATTCTGTCAATTAATATTCTATTTGAATCAATTTGCAAACAGCTTAGAATACTACTAACATTTTGCGGGATTTGTTTTTAGGCTTACAAGAAGATTCGCAAAGAATTATATGCCGTACAATCAGCATTATTGTGCAGCGGCAAATTTAGTTTTTCTCCAAGATTCGATACTATCAGATATTTTAATACTACATGTAGTAACTCTAATGAACAATCGCCAAAGAAATCAGACTCAGAAAATCCAGACAAGAAGCCTGATGAAAATGAGGATATGAAATCAGTTTTTACTAAGCTCTCCTTATGGTTTATGGTATTATACTTTGTCTTAATTGTATTGAAACACCAGATGGGAATGTCAAATGCAGAAGTAAGTTTTTATTAATCATCATTTATTGTAGGAATTATTTTTAAAAGTATAAATACTACCGTTAAGATATGACATATTATGTTTGAATAGCTCGCTGCTTCTATTTCCTGGAATGAATTTGTATATGACATGTTAAGTAAAGGGGAGGTCGAGGCAATTATTGTAAATCCTACTATCGAGCGTGTTATAATTGTTGTGCACGATGGTGCCATTATTAAAGGAAAGAGAAGCCCATACAAGAGATATCACATGGCTGTCCCAAGCATTGAGAATTTTGAAGAGAAACTGAGGAAGGTGGAAAAGAATCTTGGCATAAAACCTGGTAAATAAATCGCTTGCGATGCATTAACGAACATCACGCGTCAGATTACGATAATTGAAGTATTTGTCTAAAATATTTTAGGCCAAGGAGTACAAGTAATTTACGAAAGGAAGATAGAATACATAGCGAGTATTGTAAGATTTGCACTTTTTGCGCTGGTAGCTATCGCTGCTTTTAGTTTTGTGAGAAAACGTTTTTCCTTCAAACCTTTCGAGATCATTTCGCAAATGAAACAGGCGAAATTTACTCTAGTCGAGCCGTTGGTGGGAAAGGGAAAAGGTGTACGTTTTGCGGATGTAGCTGGACTGAAAGAGGCTAAGATAGAAGTGATGGAATTTGTCGATTATCTGAAAAAACCAGAACGTTACAAAATGCTGGGCGCTAAAATACCACAAGGTATTTGCTGACATTGCACTTATATATATATAAATAGAAAATTATTAGCGTTTCTATTAAGTTTATGCTACAAAATTAGATCTTAAAAATACAATCCTATTTTTAGGTGTTTTACTCTTGGGACCTCCTGGATGCGGTAAAACATTACTGGCTAAAGCTGTGGCGACTGAAGCGAGCGTTCCTTTCCTATCTATGAACGGTTCTGAGTTTATTGAAGTATTCGGTGGTTTAGGTGCTGCTCGAGTTAGAGATTTATTCAAAGAAGCTAAAAAGAGGTTTGTCTGCTCTATTACTTCTCTAAATTTATCTTAATGATATTTTAATATTTACTTTAATTTCTTATAGAGCACCAAGTATTATATATATCGATGAAATTGACGCGATTGGCAAAAAACGTTCAGAGAGCTCGCTCGGGATATCTGACCGTGAATCTGAACGAACGTTAAATCAACTTTTAGTAGAAATGGACGGAATGATATCAAAAGAAAACGTTATTATACTGGCCTCGACGAACAGGGCAGACGTATTGGATAAGGCGTTATTGAGACCCGGCAGATTCGATCGGCACATTTTAATCGATTTTCCCACGGTAGAGGAGAGACAACAAATCTTCGAGACTCACCTTAAAAAAATATCTTTACAAAACAAACCTTCGAAATATTCGGGATACTTGGCTTATCTTACACCTGGTTTTAGTGGTATTGCATTTATCTATAAAAAGAGCAGTACTTCAAAGGTATTATTATTTCAGCTATCACACAAGCATGATGTTTTCAGGTGCTGACATAGCAAACGTTTGCAACGAAGCCGCGCTACATGCTGCGAGGGATAAGAAGAAACAAGTAGAAAGCAGCGATCTTACATATGCGATCGACAGAACGATTGGTGGCTTGACAAAGAGAAATAATCCGTTAACGCCGTCCACAAAACGTGTCGTCGCCTATCACGAAGCCGGTCACGCGTTAGTGGGATGGCTGTTGGAGCATACCGATGCCTTGCTCAAAGTAACAATAGTGCCACGAACTAACTTGAAACTGGGATTCGCGCAATACACGCAATCTGATCAGAAGCTCTACAGTAAGGAGCAACTTTTCGAACGCATGTGTATGACGTTAGGTGGTCGTGTCTCGGAACATGTGACGTTCAATAAAATTTCAACGGGCGCCGAAAACGATTTGAAGACTGTGACAAAAATGGCGTATCACCAGGTCCAACAATTCGGAATGAGTCCAGCTGTGGGTTTAATTTCTTTCGAAGAAGAGCATACCAGCACGGTATGAGATAATGTTACCGCGAACTCTCCTGTTCATTGTACCTTAGAACGTAATGTCTAATTTCTTTTCTCTTGTAGAAAACTAAGAAGCTGTATAGCAAAAAGTTAGCTAATTTAATGGACGTCGAAGTAAGAAGAATAATAGGGGAAGCATATGCACAAACTCGACAATTGCTTTTGGATAACAAAGACAAATTAGATACGGTATGTATACATTTCTTACACATATATTTATAATTAAACAATACTGTGCGAATTTACGTATATAAAATATTTTTATTGAGCACAGCTTGCGGAGGCTCTATTAAAGAAGGAAACATTATCGTATGATGATGTAGAAAAATTAATTGGACCGCCGCCATATGGAAAGAAGCGACTTGTAGAACCAGGAGAATTTGAAAATTCTGGTCCAACTAGAGAATCCCCGTCGGTAGACAGAGAATTGGCAGAATAAAACGTATATTTTTTGTAGATATTTATATTCTGTATAAAGAAAGATTAGGATGATAAAATATATTAAATATATTTGAAAAATTTGTTGGTAAATTCGAGATTTGTAAAATACTTTCTTTCCTGTTATACATATGTACATATTTTTATTTTATTTATTACATATCGTCTCAATACTATGTTTACCAAATTCAAATTGCGGTAATAAATAAAACCACAGAAATGGAAGAAACATATTTTTATTTCAATACTTATGTAGAAATAAATTTTGTTACAACATAGATAGTGGAAAATATAGGAAATGTAGATTTAAAAAACTGTTAAATCTAAAAATGCCTCGTGTGGTCATTAGCATCTTTTTCAATACTTTTTTTTTTAATAAAAAATAGATACACGTATTTTTCTCTTTAAATATATGTATGCATATAATATGTATAAATAACTAAGATATATTTTATGGAAAATCAAATGTCTTTTACTCTAATGGGCATTTTTGTTCTTTGTTATAAATTTGAGAGAAACAGTTACAATATAAATGCAGCGGAGTAGATACTTTATAAAGTACTTGCATTCGATTCGCTCTTATGTAAGAAATATATGTCAAATATGTAGTCGTGTAACAGAAGTTGCATCTTAGGGTATTTGTACGTGGTTCTTATTAATCTTATTAAATAATCTATATCTCGGAAATCATCATCTTATTTAAAGATTAAACAGGAGGATTAGAAATCTAAATACTGAAAAACTACTTAGATTATTTAACAACTTATACTAAAACAGTAACTATTAGCAGTAATCATTAAAGTAATTACTTAAAAAAAGCTCTATGGCATCATAATCATAATATGGAGTAATCGATACGACCAATTTTGTCAGAATAAAATTCAGGTTATATTAGTTTATGACATCATTATATGGCATACACAGCTAAGATAAGCAAAACAGAATATAATATTATTATACTTTAAAAATGTAAGGAAGAACGGTAACGACACGACTACGTCTATGTCACAAGTATTATTATGGCCAGATGTCTTGAATAAGCGTGACAATATTGCATATTTATCATTGGCATCATAATTTGTAGGAACAATTAGCATGCACTCGAAATTTCAAACTAAGGACGATTTTGATTTTTTTGTGCTTTGCCAGTCCCTCAAGCACACACCTTTTATCACATTCAATATTAATACTTATTGTTTAACAATTAAATCTTTGATAACGCCATTAAGTGCTCGCTCCAAGTGCGAGCCGTCCCAATAAATCTTCCCACAATGTTCGCAGATATAAAAGGTCTGTACATTCTTCAATACGTTCAGTGGGACTTTATCTATTTGTATCCGCATGTGATATCTGGTTGTACACGCGTCAACGTCAAGAGTATCCATGGACAAACGCCATGTACGATGTTCGCTGTTTGTAAAATAATTATTTGAATTCCGAACAATTTCGAAATCATCGTTCGAATCGGAGTCAATATCGGTTTCTAATGTCTTGTCCACTCGATTAGGCAATACTCGATAATTGTTTTTCCTTATAATTTTCACAAAGCTGGATCAAATAAAAATTGTTTTTATTACAAGAAATTGAAAAAAAAGAGGGAAGACATATGTATGCATATACGTATCTAGATAAACATATAAATTAATTCAATTCACCTTTGCATAAGATCGTCCATTAGCTTCTTCGGAACTTTCACGAATTCATCGCAATTACATATTTGGCATCGGCTGAAAATATCATTTTGCGTTATTACAACACCAAAGTGATGTAAAACCTCACGTAGTTGGTTGTCGGGTGTGTCGGCAATTATCCTATAGCAATTCTCCAGCGGTAGATACTGCTTAAACTAACGTGACAGAGATTATTAAAATAAGATCTATATTGACCGTTGATACGTTGTAAAACGGATCTTACTCTTTCGTAACTTTTGTTACGCGTTAATAGAATCCTGTTCTCGCGCATCGCCAGTCTAGCAGAATCGTCTCCTCCTTGATCAAATAATACGTGTATGCAATCTATGCCACACATGCGTAACTTGCTGCTTAAACCACCCAACATTGAGTCGCACACAACGCGCCATGTATGCGCAGGAATTGGATCCAAATTTCGTCGTTGTACGGGTTCAGGTCTACTCGCATTATTCTGTCTAGTTTGAATATTTCGTTTACCCTGAATATCCTCCCATTTACTCTGTTTATCATATCTATTATAATTGTCGCGTCTAGTTTGATTACCGCGATTACTCTGGGTATCATGTCTATTATAATTCTCATAATTATCGTATCTCCTCTGGTTGTCGTATCTTCCATCATTGGCTGTTTGATTCATTTTGGCATTCGCATATCTATTCTGATTATAATTATCGTGATTATATCTTCTTTGGTCATCGTGTCTTCCATCGTTAAGTACTCGGATTACTCCACTATGCGCAGTTCTGTCACGATTATAATTATCATGATTCTCATCATATCTTCTTTGGTCATTGTGTCTTCCATCATTAACTACTCGGATTACTCCATTATGCGCACTTCTATCATGATTATCATAGTTATCATATCTTCTCTGGTTATTATGTCGACTGTCATTAGCTAGATCACGGTGTACAGATCTACCCTGATCATTCTGTTTATTGTGATACCCATGTTTGGCCATAGGTCTATGTGTTCCATACTTGGGCGAAGCTCCTGCGTTCATGCGATAATTCTCATTATCTTTATTAGGCATTGTTGGATATTTCTGTAAAACGGTTAGTAATGAACTTAGTAGTGTTCATAAGGAATACAATTAAATCAATATAACATGTTTTATTTAAAAAATCATTTATTTTTAATACAAAAAAGATTAAAAAAACATACTACATAACTTTAAATTAGTCAATTATTCTGTAATTTTAAAGGATAATACAACAAAAGAAGAACTAGAAGATGGCTCAGGATTTTTTTATTCAATTTTTGATAAAAAATATCGCTGTATAAATAGTGGGCGCGAATTAAATGACACCCTGTATATGTAATGCTTAACTATAAAAATAACGTTTTTCTCATAACAAATAAAGATAATATTTTCATCAAAGATCATACAGAATATTTTTCCACTCGTCATTAAATGGAAAAAATTGCCACTTCTTTACTAAAGTATTGTTATATTATACTTTTACGTATCAATTTGTTGCAATTTATACCTTCTGTGGAAACTTATTCACATTCGTCTTTGTATGTGCGTGCGGAATATACTGTATTTCAGCACAAATATCTTCAAATGGTATGTCCATATCTGCTGAATAATCTGCTAATACATTGTATATCTCCAACAAACAATACGCATCTAGTGCTGCCATATATAACAGATACACATACACGTATAGCAATGGGAAAAAATTATATTAAATAATATTGTATTAAACACACAGAAAAGCGATTACTAACCAGCATATATTATTTGACTTTCTCGCAAAGGTCTCAGCTCCCAATTCGAAAATTGATCAGACTTATCAAGTCTTTGTCCGAAACACAATTCTACAAGTTTACTCAAGCTTTTGTTTGTAAAATTTGGATCGCCTTTGTATGGGAAAATGAAATTGTACTCCTCTACTAATTTCCTCCATAAAACCATCAGGTCAAGATATCCTTGGCCATGTGTTTTAATGGACGACAAGGCTGGTAAACTATTACGTATTACAGTCATATCTTGTGCCACTCCAAATCCTGTATATGATACATAAAATAATATGCAATAGTCTCGATATCATAACATTTGTGTTATTCTCATATCATAAAATGACTGAATAATTGTCTATTTCCAAGATAAATATGCAAGTAAAATACAACATGTATATTGCACGTAATTAAAATAATACAGACGACACTATTTTAGATAATTAAAACCACATACCAATCTTGACGATGTCTTTATTTCCGAATAATATAAGACCAAGCTCATTCCAGAGTTCTGGTAATTTATTGCCAATAGTAGTTACGTCCAAAATATAGACATTATCTGCAGTAGCTACTTGCATAAGTGCCAGCTCAGGTTGTTTAGTTCCTGATGAAATATAAACGTTTTACATTTAAAGTATATTATATATTATAAGTTGTTTTATATAGCTTCTTTATATTCAACTTTCGATTGTGTGATTACCAAAGCTAGGTTTCCACTCCAAGTCAATTCCAACCATATTAACATCTCTTAATCCATTATCGAGGAACTCTTCAAATAATCGTCCATCGTCTACTAACTTCACATTTTCTCTTGGTAATTTTAAAATATGATAATTTACATTATCTTCATTTGGTTCCCGGGTTTTTCCTCTACTCGTAGAAGCGCCCTCATTTACCACTGCAAACTATAATATTATGGGTATTCCTCAAGATGCAAATGTAAAAATATAGATAAAAGTATTACTTTGTGCACTTTGTTCCTCTATATGCACGATAGCCCATGGCCATTCATCTTTAGGTATTTCATATTCTCTTGCCCAGTATAAACCTTCTTGTTCATCATTAGTGTTAACTAACATGGTGAGCAACTCCGTTTGTAATTTAACATCATTCCCTATTGCTTCTCTCACCATCTCTCTCCAACTGGCAATATCTGTACGTAATAAAAGCAATTAAATAGAAAATGTAATTTCTATTTCCAACCAAGAGAATCGTTGGTCTTTCCAAATAATAATATAGAAAAATGGATATTTACTTAAGCTACCATCCACATAGCGTTTATGTATAAGGAATTGCAACGCTCCTTCGTTTCGTTTTGTGTTTAAGTGAGGACATACATCGGGCGATAAGTTATACTGTTTTATTAGACGTGCAATAAGCTTGGTTATCGGACGAACTTGTGTCAATGATATCTTAACGTCTGGTATATCATTTGTACTGAAAGGATTCAGTTCAGTGAAAAAAAATCTCATTGCTCTAATAATAATTGATTTAGATGCTTAATAAAAATAAACATATTGTCACTTACTAAATAAATTGTTCCAAGATAATCTGCACGTTTTGCCCTGGTGCTATTAAGTTGTCCAAATAAGTTGTCAACGCTTTTTGAACCTCCGGGCAGCCCGTTAAAAATTCATCAACTATTTGCAATTTATTCTGTAGTATAAGCGGTAGTAACAATATTTTCGGATCTATAAAATGACTTTGCAATTGTAATATGGCTGCATATTGTGCAGCTTCTTTATATTCTTTCTCTTGTATCATATCCTAAAAAAATATATGTATAAGTACCTATAAAATAGATTTATTATATCTCTGGCAACCTACTTTTATTGTTTGTAAGAATATGTCTTTATGCTCCACAAAGTCATATATGGCAGATATTTTCTTTATTAGTAGCATTTGTTTCATGTGTTTTTGTCTCACTAATTTAAACGCTGCTAGTTTCAAATCAGGAACAAGAAATTCCTTGTATCCTTCTTTTCTCTCTTCTATCCAATTTGCAAACTCCTCTATCACTGTAACGCAATCGAAGTTAGCAAAAAGTCTAAATTTTTCTTCAAGAAAATATCGCTATCTTTTTTATACAATATAACCTCTCAAAACATTATTACAGCAATTATTACAGAAAATAACTTTTGTAAATTATCAATATTAAGGAACACGCCTCCTTAACTTTGACATGTATTGTAGAAATAAAAATGCCAACTTATTTTGGTTTACTTTAATTAACTTATGTGTGTTTTCTAAATATATTTGTCAAAGTTATTAAAGAGGTACACCCCCTAACATAAATAATTACATAATTTTTCTTCTGTTATGTGTAAATCAATAAATTACAAAAATTATAATTGTTATGTATATGTATATATATATATATATATATATATATATATATATATATATATATATA